TTTTTCTCCGGTACCAGGAACCGAACTCACGACCTTGCGCTTGCCAGGCAGGCGCTTTTGCCGCTGAGCTAAATCCCCAGCCCCTCTATCTTGTTTTGTTTTGTTTTGTTTTTTTGGACAGGGTCTTGCTGTATAGTTCAGGCTGCCCTTGAACGAACTATATAGCCCAGGCTGGCCTCAAACTTGCAGTAGTCCTCCTGCCTCAGCCTCCTGAGTGCTGGGATTACAGGTGTGCACCACCACACCCGGCCCAATGCTCTACGTATTTTTACAATAAGCTTTTAAATTTTGAGATAATTGTAGATTGACTTGTAGTTTTATGAAATAATACAGATAGATCTCATGTAGCTTAGACCCAACTTATCCCATAGGTAACATGATGCATAGATATAGAACAATAAATATCACAATCAGATAATTGAGATTTATATAACCCAGTCACCTTTATGCAGATTTTGCTGGTTTTACATGCATTTGTGTGTGTGTATATGTAGATTTGATTTTGTTCAATCTTATATGACTTTGGCAGAGTTCATTTTAAGAAAAATTTCTCTTGGTACATGATTACAATACATAATAATTACATTCATCATGTGGAGCTGGTACATGTACAGTTTAACTTCTTTTATTTTCTTTCTTTTTGGTACTGGGAATCAAACTCAGGACCTTGTGCTTGCCAGGCAGACGCTTATGCCACTGAGCTATATCCCCAGCCCAGTTTAATTTCTTTTTTTCTTTAAAAAAATTTCTTTTTCATTCCCTCTCCATCCCTTGGTTCCCTTACCCTTTGCCAAATATCTGTCTCCTTACTTCCTTTTATCTTATCTTTTACTTTTCTCTTTATTGATATTTTGGGTTTCTCATATAGCAGAAACCATGCAGCATTTAAGCTTGTGTGTCTGTCTGGTTTATTTCACTGAACACAGTCTCAGGGTGTATCCATTTTCCCACAAATGACTCAAGTTTATCTTTCATTATGGCAGAGTAATGTGATCAGGTTCTAGGGTACTGGAAACTCTTTCTACAGATTCCTTCTAGGGTCTTATCCTGGACAAAGAATCTGACAAACTGGATGTGGTGGCACACACCTGTAATCCCAGCACTTGGGAGGCTGAGGCAGGAGGATCTATGCAAGTTCAAGGCCAGGCTGGGTTACAAAGTGAGCTCGAGGCCAGCCTGAACGGCATAGTGAAACCCTGTCTTAAAAAGACAAAAAAAAAAAAAGAATCGGACAAAAGAGGCACTAAAGTGGGGAGGTTTTACATTTAGGAAAGGAAACATGCACTACCAAGCTTGGGGCAAACATACACTGCCAAGTGTGGGGCAATGAAAAAAGTAGGATGAGAAACATGCTCTGCAAAGTGTAAGAAGACCACCGTGAAATAGAACACAGACCAGGAGAAAAGTGGCGGTGGTCTTGTGTATCTCCCACTCCTCAGACTGATCTCAGATCCAGACTGCCCTATCAGAAACCTGCTTGATTTCTCTAGAGAAGGGAAGATACAGCTGCAGCACATTCCATGTGTGTCCTAGAAACTCTGATTGAAGAGCCACACCCACTTTCCAGCTGGCTGGCCACGCCCTAATCTAGTGCCTCAGTGGTGTATAAATGGCATGTTGTCTTTATTGGCAGAGTTGGTTTTTTTGAAAACAAAGTTTTTCTATGACTCACAGTAACCTACTTTATAGTTTATAAATAACTAAGAGAAAGGGACTTTAAGGCTTCAAGCAGAAAGTAATGATAAGGAGTTCGAAATGTTAATTTCTCTGAGCAGGTCAGCACATACTGGTTTTTGTTTTTTTGAGACAGGGTGCCCCTGTGTAGAACAGACTGGCCTAGAATTTGCTTATGTAAGCCCAGGCTGGCCTCAAGCTCATGGTGATCCTCCTGCCTCAGCCTCCGTAGTGTTGGGATTACAGGCATGTGTGACCACACCTGGTGCACATGTTGTATATATGTACTAAAATAGCACATTGTACTCATTAAAATATGTACAACTTTTAAAATTAATTGTATGTATTGGTACATTTTAGGTACACATAACAATCACATTCATCATAGGAAATTTGGACTTGTAGAATATGTACAATTATTGTGTGTAAATCAAAATTTTAAAAAATTTAAGGAGATGGAAATGTTAACCATCCTTATTTGTTTTTGTTTTATGTGGGGTTTTTTTTGGTACCAGGAATCAAACTTAGGACGTTGTACTTGCCAGGCAGGCACTTGTGCCACTGAGCTATATCCCCTGCCCAATCATTTTTATCTGATCATTACATGTTGTATTCATGTATCAGATTATTACACTATACCCCATAAATTTATACAATTAGAACAACAATTTCTTAAAAATTCAAATAAAAGAGAACATTTAAAAAAATACACAGGGGATATGGCTCAGTGGTACAGCACTTGCCTGGGAAGCACAAGGTCCTGAGTTCAATTCCTGGTCCCCTACCCAAAACAAATCTTTAAAAAGGACCTGGAATACAGCTCAGCAGCACAGCACCTGCCTGGCAAGCGTGAGGTCGTGAATTTAATTCCCAGTACCAAAAAAATCACACACAAATACATCTGCAAAAACAAAAACAGGAAGTAAATTAAATAAAATAAAAGAGAACCCCTTCAGATTTCTATTTTTCTTGTCTTTTTGAAACAGGGTCTCGCTATGCAGTTCAGGCTGGCCTTGAGCTCACTTTGTAGCCCAGGCTGGCCTCGAACTTGCAATGATCCTCCTGCCTCAGTCTCCTGAGTGCTGGGATTACAGGCGTGTGCTACCACGCTCAGCAAGGAGTATGGAATTTCAAAGGTGTCTGTTAATATTGCTGTGCTTTGGAACAATTTTTGTTTCCTGCATTTTCCTTCTTTTTCACTTATTTATGATCTATCTAGTTTTCTTTCCTTTTTTTCTTATTTCTTTGTGTTTTTAAATTAAAAACTTGGGGATGGGGATTTAGCTCAGCGGCACAGCGCCTGCCTGGCAAGCGCAAGGTTGTGAGCTCGATTTCCGGTAAAAAAAAAAAAATTAAAAACTTCTTTTCACCAGAAGAAAATAGTTTGCTTATCCAGATCATAAACTTTAGGTAAGTAGGCAGAAAATACAGAAAAGCATAAAGAAGAAAATAAAAAGCATTTAAGGGGCTGGGGATTTAGCTCAGCGGCAAAAGCGCCTGCCTGGAAAGCGCAAGGTCATGAGTTCAGTTCCCGATACCGGAGAAAAACCAAAAAAAAAAGCATTTAAAATCCCAGCACATAGAGAAAATATCATAGAATTTTGGTGAGCACTGTGCTACATGTTTTTCTTTTCTTTCTTTCTCTCTCTTTCTTTTTTTTTTTTTTGGTTTTTCTCCGGTACCAGGAACCGAACTCACGACTTTGCGCTTGCCAGGCAAGCGCTTTTGCCGCTGAGCTAAATCCCCAGCCCCTCTCTTTCTTTTTCTCTCGCTCTCTTTCTTTTCTTTTTCTTTCTTTCTTTCTTTCTGTCTTTCTTTCCTTCCTTCCATCCTTCCTTCCTTCCTTCCCTCCCTTCTTCCCTCCCTCCCTCCTTCCTTCCTTCCTTCCTTCCTTCCTTCTTTCTTTATTGTTATTTTTGAGACAGGGTCTCCCTATGTAGTCCAGGCTGGCCTTGAACTCTCTGTCAGCGATCCTCCCGCCTCCCAAGCACTGGGATTACAGGCGTGTGTCACTAGGCCCAGCTATTTTCTTGTGTATGCTGTTCTATATAATGTTTTTCCATGTTCTCCTTCCTTGTTATTATAGACCTTTAAATAAGTTTTAATGAACATGTATATTCACAGACAGACTTTTATTTCCTCAGTACTTGGAAGTGAATTTAGGAGTGCTCTGCCCTGAGCTACGTCCTCACCCTTTTTTATTTATGCAGTACAGAGAATTGAACCCAGGGCCTCTACACTGAGCTACATCCCAGCCCTTTTCTCTTTTTACTCAAGATATCTTTTATTCTGAATTATATAAAGTCAGAACTCTAAAGGAGTACTGTTTACGAGCTCTACTGTTGTATTTTTACATGATATGACTACAGGATAACTTTAACAATCTGAGGCCACTCTAACTTTTTGTCAGTATATCATTTACTGACTATAATTATCAAGTTGTAAGAACAGTTACAACCACATTAATACTTCACAGGATTCTGGTGTCTCATAAAGGCTGGATATTTCCAACTAAAACATCAACACAGCTTTTAGCCAAAGAAAATATTTTATTCAAAGTTCCCAAAGCAAACGAATTATATTGAGTTTGAAATGAATAAGAAAGGCCAAAATTTGAACAGAAATAGTGTTCATTTAGTGGGAGCCGAAATCAGTGTGGACTGTTAATTTACTATTTGTTGGCATTTCCACATTTTTCAGGGCCTACCCGGCCAAAGCCCTGCCTTTGGTCTTTTCCTGCCTCTAGTTCCTCCATATTGGGTACTGTCCATTCTGGTCTAGAGTTTTGGTCTCTTTCCATTTTCTCTCGGGGTTGCCTGGGTACCACCACAGCCGCCATCTCTTGAACATCTTATTTATTTATTTATGTATCTATCTATCTATTTATTTATTTATTTTTGAGACAGGGTCTCACTATGCAGTTCAGGCTAGACTAGGCTGGCTTCAAACTTGCAATGATCCTCCTGCCTCAGCCTCTCTAGTGCTGGGATTACAGGCGTGCACCACCATACCTGGTTTGAACATTTTATATTAGAACTTCCAGGTCTACTTTGAGAATATTTTTAAGTCTGTTGAGCACGTTTGGGACATTTTTTTTTTTTTTTCTATTTTCAGCGCGCATTTTCCTTTTCCATGTACTCCTTGACGTTTAGCCACGTTTTACCTAAAACACTCTTGAGCGCGCTCTGGGCCGAAGGGACCTCGCTGACCGGAAGTTCCCGCACTTCCGCTTTCTGGCCCTGGCGGGCTCTTTAATTTTTTGAGATAGGGTCTCGCTAAATCCCTGAGTGGCCCAGGCAGAGTTCAAACTTACGATCCTCCAGGCTCCTTCCTCTGCTTTCGAGTACTTGGACTACAGGTATGTGTTACCATGCTTGGCTTATTTTGTTCTTTTATTGTTTATTTTGTTGTCTTGGAGATTGAACCCAGTGCCTCTTGCATACACATAAACTACCTCTTGTCAATTTAAAATGATGTACAGAGCTTTTTATGCCATTAAATCTCGAGGCTAGACTTTTCTTCCGAGCTCCCCAGTCCTGCATGACTTGGGGTCACGTCTCCACCTACTTTAATTTTTCCGGTGCTGGGGATTAAACCCGCAACCTTGTGCGTGCCAGGCAGGTGCCCCACGCAGAGCTGGCCCGACATCCGCAGTCAGATGCCTCTCACACCTTGAAGACCGAGCTTGTGGGCTGCGAATACAGCTGGGTGGTAGTGCGCTTGCGCAGGTCCCTGGGGTCAGCGCTTTGCACTGAGAAAAAACAAAACCGGACAAGCTGGAACTCACCCTGTCTTTCCCAGCCGCTCTTCCGCCTGCGTCAGTCGCGCTACGCTGGAAACGGCGCGCAGTCTGGTTGCCATCTCGCCTTTGACCGCATGTAGCTGTCGCGGAGTTGGGTGGCTGCTTCTTGGAAATACAGATCATCGTCCGGCGCTGCGCTCCCTCCCGCCCCCTCCACCGGATCCAGACCCGTCGTTCTCTGCTGGGCTGCAGCCGCCCAGGTGCTGTCTGCGGGGAATCTTGTAAACACACACAGAGGATGAGAGTCGCATAGTGGACCCGGATGTGTCCCACCGTCAGGCCTCAAAAAGGACCGACAGAAGCTCATCCTTGTCCTACCAGTGCTCACCCTCCACGCCCCTGCCCCTCTTCTGTCTGGTTACTTTGAGGCAAACTCGTATATTGCACATCCCCGTTTAACTGTCTTTTGCACGCCCTCCCCTTTTTTTTTCTTGAGACAGGGTCTTGCTATGTAGGCCAGGCTGGCTTCAAACTCACAGCAATCCTCCTGCCTCAGCTTCCCGAGTGCTGCTGGGATTACAGGCGTGGGCCACCACACCCGGCTAGGCCCCTACTTCTTATGAACTAATGAGTGAAGAAACCCTCCCCGTGCCCACAGGGCCCTCACGACCTGTCCCTGGCCACCCCTCTAGCCTCACCGTTTGCCTGTGCCCTCCAGGCACAAAAGCTTTATTTATGTCCACACCGCCGGCCTCCGGGCCCTGGCGCAGCACAGCCCTCTGCAGTCGCCACTCTCTCACTGCCACTCCCTGCCCGACTGGTTGGCGTCCTTTGGATGTCACTTCCCTGCCCCCTGCGGTTGAGTCTGGACTCTGATGGCGCCTTCCTAGCACCCGTGCTGCCCCTCGCTGCGTAGACCACACAGTTAGGACGACAAGCTGCTCTGGGTAGATGCCCTCTCCATGGCTGCCTCTCCCGCGGCCTGCATGGGCAGCCCCGCGCCCCCCCTCCAGGGCAGTCTCTGGCCTGAGACTTTCTTGCTCCCTTGCAGAGGAGAAACTGAGGCCCAGCAAGGAAGAGGTAGTCCAGGCCCTTCCTCACCCCTCACCTCCTCCAGGGCCTGAGAGCCCAGCAGGTCCACAGCGCCGGGGTGATACTGTGGTGGGCAGGGGCGGGCGTGCTGGACACCGGGCACCGGGGACAGAGCTGACTTGTCCCTGGAGTAGCCGCACCGCCGGCGACGCTGAGCAGGACGTCTGCACGCAGAGGCTGGCTGTCCCCTGCCAGCAGAGAGGCTGCCAGGCGCACAGGCGAGTTCTGTTTCTGGCTGAATGCGGGTCTGTGTTGAGACTTGAACGACCAGCTTTTTGTCTGCGATGGCCAGGCCTGAGTGGCCTGCCAAGAAAAAGTGGTCTGTCGCCGGGCCCAGGCACTGGCTGGCTGGACGCTGTGCCAGCCGTGGGCACCGTGGGTGAGGCCAGCCGCGGGCCGGGAGCTGACTGCCTGCTCTGGGCTGTGGCTGGGCGCTGCAGGAAATCCTGGCGTCCCCGAGAGTGGAACTTCCCGTTTGTCCCTGCCTGTCTGTCTGATGACTGTCCTTACTCCGCAGGCCTTGTGCCCCAGGCAGGAGGGCTGCAGCGACTGCTGGCCCCCAAACCTGTGGTGAGAGGAGGAGAGAGGGGGGATCCTAAATTTGGTGACCTGAGCCATGTGAGTCCTTAGGTCCCGAAAGGGGTGGTGAGCCAGGCGTGGTGGTGCAGGCCTAGAATTCCAGCACTCAGGAGGCAGAAGCAGGAGGATCGCTGTGGGTTTGAGGTCAGTGTGACTACACTGCAAGTAGAGGCCAGCCTGAACTGCATAATGAGACCCTGACTCAAAAGCCAAAAAAAGTGAGGGATGCTAGGCGGGTAGTGGGGGTGGACCAGGTATGAGAAGTCTTCGCCATTGGCTCCTGTTTCCTTGGGCTGAAGTCTCAGAGGATGACTGAGGCGTGGAGGCCATGCCTGATCTTTGTGGGTCCCATTGGGGGCGTGCACGGTTCCCCAGTAATCCCTTCCCATCCTGGTAGTGGGGGGTGCACCTAAGTATCCTTCAGGGACACTCAGTGGTCTTGGGGGCCGTGGTTTGGTGACCAGGACTGGGGGATCCCCACCCACCCCCGATTGGGCCTTACCTCCCTCAGACCCTCCGGTCCGAGCGGACTCTTCTCCCACCCCCTCGGTTTATAGAAGCCCAGTCTCCGGGAGGCATCAGGGTCACAGAGGTCCAGGTGAAGCTGGAAGCGAACTGGCCAGCTGCAGTCACCCCGGCTCTCCCCTTGGGCAGACAGAGCCCCTGCTTCTGAGCTGCCACACAGATCTTAGGCCAGGGTTGTCTGTTCGGGGGAGGCGCAGTTATTGAGCACTTACTGCATGCCTGAGCCCTGCGGAGGGAGGGGTGCTGGGGATGAGAAATGGAGGCCCCCGCCTTGGGCAGGAAGAGAAGCGGGGCGCAAGCTCATCGCAGCCCCGTGTCCCCGCAGCAGTGACAGCTGAGCACCTGGCTCTGAACGCCCTCCCATGAGAAGCCGGGCCCGGGCAGGGCACGCGGGGAGGGGCTTGCAGCCCATTCGCTCTGCTGTCCCACTTGTCCCTGCGGCAAAGCGAGAGACTGGGAGGAGCACATAGCCAAGGCGCTGGCTAAAAAACCAACGGGATGCTGCCATCTCCCTTACAGAACTAGAGCCGAACTGAGGGTTGGACAGTGCCTCCTCCCCGCGGCACCCTGGAGGAAGTTCAAAGTTCTCCTGAGTCCCTTCCTCTTCCTGGCCTCGAGACCTGTGGCTCTGGCTCAGGCCTGGGACTCTGGCCTCCATGGCGTGGGACAAGTTATAGAACCAGCCTCCTCCGGCCTCCACCGGCTGTTCTCAGTGGTACCACTTGCCCTCTGTCATCTGTGTGTCCTGGTGTTGGTCTTTGGCAAACCAGGAATGGTGGTTTCCCGTTCAGCCACAAAAACTGGGGGTTCGTGGGCAGCCAAGGAGAGCAGACGCCCTTTGCTCTCCCCTGGACCGGAAATGTGGTCTGTGGCCCCCTGTTGCCTCAAGCTGGATCTCCCAGGTGCAGCCAGAGTTCTGCTGTAGCAGCGGCTGGAGTCACTGGGGGAGCCTTGGGGGGAACCACTGGCCCTCCATCCCCCTCCACCTCACAGCTCACAGGGCAGGGAAACTGAGCATGTTGGCCTAGGTGTCCCCCAGCCCCTGCCTAGGAAGTCAGAGCTGTGACCGTGCGGGACCTTGTCCTCCCTTCTTAGGGGAGTTGAGCTAGGTGGCTGGAGCTGGACCTTGTGAGTGTCCCCTGACTTACTAGTCCACTCCCTACATGCTGAGATTCAGTGATGGGGTTTCTCCCATCTTCAGTCCAGGCAAAGGGCCAAGCCTTTGCCCTAGCATGGAAGGTGCTTTCTGAACATAGAAGTGGGGTACCACTTCTGATGAAGTACAGAAATAACAGTCGTAGGACTCTTTTTGCAGAAGAAGAAAATTACCTTTTATCCTCCAATTTCAGCCCGTTGATGATGAGCCTGACTTTGTCCTCATGACCCTCGTTTGCCCTCAGGAAGGGTCTTGTCCCTCAGTTCCTGCGCTGTGTGGCAGGATGTGGCATCCCCTGTGAAGGACACGGTGTGGCGTGGAGCCAGCCTCTGCCACACGGGGCAGCTGTCTTGTCATTTCCTTGCCACGCTCGGGGAGTGTGAAGGAGTTTGAAGGAAATCTGTGTGGACACAGGGACACGGCCACAATGACCTGGAAATTCAGGAGAGACAGAGCAAAGGCTCAGGAAGTTCAGAGCCGGGGTCCCCAGCGCAGGCGGGTGCCCTGGCCTTAGAGCGGGAGCTGCAAAGCAAGGATGGGGTGGAAGGGTTCTTCCAGTGGTTTCTTAACTCTGGCTGAAGGTTTAAAATCACCTGGGAACCTTTCAAAGCCTGGAGCTGAACATACGGCTGCCTTGTGACCCAGCAGTTCCATCCTAAGTGTTTACCCACGGGAGCAAATACTTATGTGCCTGAAATTTTCTGTGCGCTTACACAATAGGCAAAACCTGTGGTTTTGCTCTAAAATGACCCCAAGCCCTGTGTCTGGACTTCTGGGGGGCCATAGCTGACTCACTGTTAGAAAGTGGGGTCTGGTCAGAAGAGGCGGTTCCTGGGGGTACGGCTGGAAGGGTTCAGCTCCCGCCGTAGCTGCTCCCTTCACCCCTTGCTTCCTATCTACCATGCTGTGAGCAGCTCTCCCGCACCAGGCCCTGTCATGCCGCCTGCCTTGGAGCCGGCCTACTGTGGGCTGAAATGCGAGCCAAAACAAACCTCTCCTTCCTTGAGCTGTGAGTGTCAGGTGTTTTGTCCCAGCGAGGGAGGTAGCTGAGAGAACCACACGCTGCCCCTGTCTATTAGGAGGAAAATGAAAATAAATCGATACAGAGCAGTTCTCAGTGCCGGTGAGAATGCAGGGTTTACAGTTCCACTCAGCGCTTCGCACGATTCATCCCAGCACATGGCTGAGTAAGAGCAGCCGTGAAAGAGCACACAGGGTCTGGGTCTGTTCACGTGAATTCACCAGAGGAAAGGCCGTCTGTGTTGTTGGGGGTCAGGACCATGGTTCCCCTTGAACGCGGGGGCGGCAGTGAAATAGGAGCAGGAGGGTTCTGAGGGGCTGCTCCCCAGGATGTGTTAGGTTTTGAAGTGCATTGAATGGTACACTTATTTATATGCATTCTCTATATGTAAGTTACACTGTAATAGCGAGATACATACAGTCACTTAAATACTGCCCCCAAAGAGTCTGATTTCACTGGTCGGAAAAAGGCTCAGATGTTTTTTTTTTTTTTTATGACACTGGGTGGAACCCCGGGCCGTCACAGTGGGCTATATCCCCAGCTGTATTTTTATTCTTCTTAAGTTTTGAGACAGGGTCTCACTAAGTTGCCCAGGCTGAGCCTCCTGAGTGCTGGGATTACAGGCGTGTGCCACAATGCCCACCCGGCTTCTGAAGTTTCGTTGAGACAGTCGTGCACCCAGCTCCTTGCTCCGGGTAGCTGTGCTGTGGCTTCTGAGTTGTCTCCCTCGAGGGCTGCACCATGCAGCACCTCGTTTGGATAACAGGCCTGTGTTTAGGTCTCTCCTGGAGATCACAGAGGCTGGCGCCCTGGCTGGCAGCGGGAGGTACCCGGGAGACCACCCACTGCCTGCCATGGACCCAGCCTGGCCTGTGACCACACAGGCTCTGTGTCCCAGGTGCCTGGCCTGGCTGAGGTTTCTGCTCACATTGGCCGTGAGTACCACTGCTTGTGAGGGCGGCTGGGTACAGCGAGGGGCCTGGCAAGCCTGGGGGTGCTAGGGGATGCCAAGCCTGCGTGTCCACCCAAGTACCACCCCATCCTGTCCCGGCCACTTTGCCCTTTTCTGTGTGCCTCTGCCTGCCACCCAGTTCCCCCTTTGATCCTCAGCCTGTGTGGCCTGAGTGCCTTGTGGTATGTGGCCAGGCTCCTGGAGGAGGGGCCAGCTGTGGGTGGCACCACCAGCTCCTGTCCGTCCCTCCCCTCGTTTCCTACTGGAAAGGAAATGTCTCTCCTTCTCTGTGTCCCTTCACTCTGCTGACTGATTCAGACAGGGTCTGGCTGTGTAGTTAAGGCTGGCCTTGAACTCATAGGGATCCTCCTGCCTCAGCCTCCTGAGTATGGGGATTTAGGTGTGCGCTACCACACCCAACCTTTTCACTCTCTCTGCCTTGCTCTCCTCTCCTCCTCTCTTTTGGTGTCATCGGCTCTCTTTCTCTGTCTGTCCCTCCTCCCTTCATTTAGGCAAACACTGCATTCTGTCTGTGTGTGTGCTGGGCATGCAGAGATTTAGAAAGCTCTGAATCCCTGCTGGAGCTCAGCATCCAGGAAGGCAGCTGTCTAGAGACAGATACCTTAAAGTTTGAGGTGACATTTGGACTGGGACTCCAGGTGGAGCCACGTGAGGGCGCTGTGGTGAGGGTAGGGCCCAGGTCCCTGGTGAGCCGCTTGGGAGGAGGGCAGGTGGGCAGCAAGGCTGCTGGAAAACAGGGAGCCAGAGAGGTCAGTGGAGGGCGGCGGGGACTGAGGGACGGCAGGGCACAGTGACAGGAGCAGATGTGGACCCTGGAGCAGAGAGGCAGCCGTGAGATCCTGTCACCAGGATCCGGGAAGAAAAAAGTGGCTGGTCTGGGCTGGTGCAGCGGAGAAAGAGACGATGTCGAGGGTAAGCAGAGGCAGGCCCCTCAGGGCCATCGAAGGGACAAGGACAAGCTGAGGACTCCAGCTAGTGATGGGCGTGGGGCCACCCTCGGGATCCTATGTGCTCAGATGGAGGGTGGTGTGGGGCGTGTTTTGATGGCTATGACGAGACCACAGGGCTGAGCTCAGGAGGGGACGCGGTGTCCAGGTGAGGGGTGGATCCGAAGGGGGCCACAGGTGGTGGCATTGGAGCCTAGGTGGCAGGCGGGGCCAAGTGTGAGCATCAGGGTCCTTGCCCGGGCCTCATCCTCAGGGTCTACACTTGTGTCTCAGGGGCCCTTACTCACTTCCTCACTCTCAGCATGACTTTCTCGTCATCTCCCTCAGCGGGTGTCTGTCCCCATCCTGCTCTCCTGAGGTGACGGGATTTGTGGAAGGCGTGAGGAGAGGGCGGGGCTGGGCTCCACACCCACCGTGGGCCTGGGCGGAGGAGCCCCTGCCCTGCCTTAGACCGGGCAATGGAACGGCTCTGGGCCAGTGTTGGAGGTACTGCCATTCCCCCGCCCCATCCTCCTCCTGACAGGAATATTTTTGTGGCTTTGATTCAAAAAATACAGATTTCAGGACCCCGAACCCTGATATTAACTCCACAGTGTGAACAGGGGGTGGGATGGATGGGCAGGAAGTGTGGCTGATGACCCGTCAGGAGATGTGAGCAGCTGGGGAAAGGGCCGGGGGCGGGGCCGGCAGAGGCTGCTGCCCCCCGGAACAGGGCTCAGTTTGTGGGGGTTTGAGCAGCCGTGCCCCCTGGGTGGCGTGCTGTGCTCGTGCAAGGGTGCTTGATCTTGGGTTGGCCCCCACTATGGCCTGTAACAGCGCTATAGACAGCTCACAGAGGAGATCCAATAGTTAATACATATTCGGAAAGAATCCAGCCTCCCGGTAGGCAGAAAGACAAATGAAGACCACACGTTTTCACCAGATTGGCCAAGGGGAGAAAAGGCGAGCATGCTGAGTAGGGCTTGGCTGTGGGGAGCACAGGTCTCACAGAGCACTGGTGGCTGGTACCTTGGTACAGCACCTGGAAAGCAATTGGGAAATTTGTTTTTGTTTTTTTTTTTTTCTTGAGACCAGGTCTTGCTATGTAATTCAGGCTGGCCTTGAATTCACTATGTAGCCGCTGAATGCTCAGCAGTCCTCCTGCCTCAGCCTTCCAAATGCCGGGATTACAGGCGTGCGCCACCACACCTGGTGGAATTTCCATTCTTGATCCACTGGTTGAGCTTCTGAGCAATAATCCCTGGAATGGGCAGTGACATGGGGATTTTCTCATGAAATCATGTTAAGCAACAAAGTAGGCTCCACAGATAATGTGCTTCACAGTTCATTTCTATGAGCTACACGTTTGTGTGTCCACTTTTCTTTGATTTTTAGGGGATGTTTATTTTATTTTATTTTTATTTTTATTTTTATTGTCTTTTTGAGACAGGGTCTCGCTATGCAATTCAGGCTGGCCTTGAGCTCACTTTGTAGCCCAGGCTGGTCTTGAACTCACAACGATCCTCCTGCCTCAGCCTCCTGAGTGCTGGAATTAACAGGCGTGCGCCACCACACCCGGCGCATTAGGGGATGTTTAAATGGATAATTTTTGATCTCATACATATTTGGCATTTCTCATATTCCTTATAAGGAACATAAACAATGAAGGAAAAGGCCTCTGTGAAGCATAAAATGATGGAACCAAGTAAATCCAGAAATAAACTGTGGAAGTCAAAGGGTCAAATCACTAGTGTCACATGCCACTTTGTAAGATTCAGTTAACAGGTCACACTTGGCTTAACAATGGGGAAATGCTCCGAGAAGTGGGTGGTTAGACGGTTTTGTGCAGCCACCATCATGGACTGTGCGTGCAGAGACCTAAGGGAGCTGTGACGTCCTCAGGAGCTGCTGTCGTGGGACCGCCACCCGCCATCCTTGATGTGGTCTGTTCATTGGTGACCAAATTGTCATCTCGTGACGATGCATGTCAGTGGATGGGCAAGGCTGAGCACATGGCTGCGGCTGGGCTGATTTTGTGGGTGCAGTTGCCTGGCTCCTCAGCATGACCCTGGGCGTACGTAGCCTGTGCCCGGGTGGGTCTCAGTTTCCAGATGTGTGCAATGGTCCGGTGGGACCGGTGAGACTAAGTTTTCTCTGTGGGTGCTGGCAGGTCTTGGGCCGAGGCGATATAACTCTGGGCTTCCAGTAGAGAACTTGGACGTGCTCCAGCCTCAGAGCAAAGTGTGACTCAGCATTTGGGACTTTTCGATTTCAGGTTCCTGCTCCTTATTCACAGAGTGACCGCAACGCGGGACTTTGTGACCTATTCTGTATCCCCGCCCCGCCTTGCCTGGGCCCTGCTCTTTGGCTGCCCCATCTTCCCTGGTCAGGCCCTGGGCCTACTCCACCCGGGCAGGTAGGACACCTCGGGCTGTACTGATGCTAAGCCTGGAGGGGCAGGAACGGGAGCCCTATTCTTTAGAGCTGTTGCAGGCCACTGGGAGACCTTCCTGCCCAGGGAGAGACTCTCTTCCCTCCTGGGCATTTTTGAAAGGGTCTGGCTCTCATGGCTGAGGTGTTCTGCCCACCTTGAAGGTGACTGAGGCTGGCTCGTGATCTGGGGCAGCCCCACCTTTTCCGGCCGCTGTCACCTGTGGGCTGACGGAAGTCCACTGCCCCATCAGCTGCCTGTCTGTGATAAGGCTTCCTGTGCTTAGCAGCCTTCCCAGCACCTAGCAGTTTATGGTAACACTGCCCAGGCACTTCAGGAACTCTTGCTTTTCGACCAGGAGAGAACCTCAGAGAGCCCCTCCCCGTGTGTCTCCTCAGGGCAGGCTGCAGGCCCGGCTATGCCTGGCCTAGTGGCTGGCTGCCTGGCGCTACAATAAGGTGGAGGTTGATTTTCCTTCTGGTCTAGGCATTATCTGAACCTTAGGCTTCCTAAAGAGATGCCGGTGAGGTGTCCCACTCTGTCACCGTTGCCTACCAGGACCAGGCTTGGGTGGGGGACAGCTGCAGCTGCCCTGGGCTGCGTGCTGCAGGTAGGGAAAGACATCCCATCAACCCTGCTTCCTGAAGTGGGACCTTTTTCTCTCTAGCCACCAACAAATGAACGGAAAGACGGCTAATCGGAAGAGCCCTGGGTCCTACACAGAGAATCCAGACAGGGCCAAGGGGGCCCCGGACTGCACTGAGGCCCCTTCTATTCAGAGGTACGCACAGATTGTGGTGGGAAGTCTTTAGAGGTGACTGTCAGACAGGGGACCTTAAAGTGGAGTCATGGCCCCTTAACAAGCCTGCTAGGCTGGGCACGAGCTGCCGGGGCCCCCTCCTCCCACCCCTCTGCCCTGTCCCGGTGCACTGGGACCTAGCAGAGTCCAGGCTTCTCGGGTTACCGGCCTCCTCCCTGCCCACCTGTCCTCGGGCCAACCTAGCCAAGGCAAAGGTTTGTGTTTCGTCGCCACCCCCTCTATCCCCTAGCCTGGTCGCTTTAGTCAGGTGAGTTGGTGCTGAGCTCCTCATTGCAGAGCCGCAGGCCACACAAGGCACTGCAGGGAGGACAGGCCTGCTGGGATCATGGCCCATGGCCTGGCCCCGGAGCTGTGAGTCTGACGCCTCCAGCCATCCCCGCCCCAGACTGGTCCCCATCCCTGTGCTGCCTGCTCCAGAGAGATGGGAGGGAAGGGGTGTGTGGCGCTCAGGCCCAGGGCGGGCAGCCCTGGGAGCCTGAGCTCAGGCTGAGCCTGCTTCTAAGGTGGGAGGGGAGGCTGCTTGCTGGGAAGCGGGTGCTTCGGGGCCTCCCTCCTGCATCTCAGGCTGTGCTTTCCCGGGGACTGCACGCCTGCTGAGCTTGTCATCCTGCCAGGTCCTGTAGAGAAGGGTCCTGGTCTCCAGCCTTCTGGCTCAAAGCCAGGGCGGAATGGGCCCTGAGGACCCGAGGGTGGGACGCAAGGGTTGCTTGTCCTGGAATGGAATGTCTCCTTGCAGTCTGCACTGGCCAGAAGGCTTGAAGGGCGCAGAGATAAAGAAGGATGGCCGAGAAGGGGTGAGTGTGCGCCTGCCCTCAGCGCTCCCCAGGGAGGGCCCTGGACTGCCCCAAGTCAGTACTGGCTCCCTGGCCCATCAGGGGACCTAAGCGGGTGTCGCTGTCTCGGTGGGAGTGCTGTGTCCTCCTCTGGTCCCAGGCTGCCTGTCGGGACCCGGTGTTAGCGGGAGACAAGCTGTGCTTGCCACACAGCCACCAGCTGTTTAGTGGCTGCTCCCTCTGTAGCCCGGGAAGGAGTGGGGTGGGCCGCGGCGTTATTTCCTGGTAGCTGGAGCAGGGCCTTTTTGGAGACCTTCCGGGGCCTCTCAGACCCGGCCCATGTGTTTGTAGACACTACTAAGTAAATACAACCAGCAATACCACAAGCTCTTTAAGGACATCCCCTTGGAGGAGATGGTGCTCAAAGGTAAGCTGTCTCCTTGGAGCGGCTGGCTGGTGCCCAGGTGTTCTACCTTGGAGCCCCTGAGGCACCGTTTAGATACGGGGACTGGCAGTTAGTTCTCTGGCTGCAAACGAGCGGGCTTCCTGGAGGACTGGGCCAGTTAGAGATATGAAGTTGAATCTATGAAGATTGTCTTGGGGCTTTCAGATCTTACTTCTCTTCTGTTCCATCCGCTCCCTGCGCCTGTGGGGACACTGGGACGATCAAGGGCAGGGCAAGGCCGGTGGTGTGCCTGCGATCACAAAGACCCAAGTTGGGTTGGCTGGGCTCTGCGGTTATGGTGGGAGGGGTGGGGCAGATAGGGTTCTCAGGAGAAAGACCGGGGTCCGAAGGTGGCGGCCAGGGATTCCGAGGAGCGGGTACTGAGGCTGCAGGCCGGACCTGCGAGTGTAAGGCCCAGCCTGCGGCCCCTCGGGGACCTTGCTCACGGCAGTCTTCTCACCCGTGGCTTCCCAGTGTGCTCCTGTGCCCTCCAGAGGGACCTCCTTGTCCAGGGCCGCCTCTACATCTCCCCCAACTGGCTCTGCTTCCACGCCAGCCTCTTCGGCAAGGACATCAAGGTAGTTATGAAGGGTTGCCGGGGTCCATGGTGGCCCCGGCCCCAGCCCAGGAAGGACAGCTTCCCGCACTGTGGCCACGGCTCTTAATATTGGCCCTGCACTTGGCCTGAATAATTCACAGCCAAGTTATTCTGCTCTGAGTATTTCAGAAGAGTCTTCAGAATCAGAGAGGGGTGTCACCTGCGGGGAGGCGGCATTAGTGTGGTCAAGGGCTAGCTCAGGGCGCTCCATGACTAGACTGGGATTCAGAGCGACCGTCCGGTCTCCTGGCTAACAGGGATCACACATCGGTGAGTCCCAAGCCCCGTGTGCTGCCGAGCCTGGGGCCGGGTGGTGGGGAAAGTGAGGGGCGCCTGGGTGAGGAGGAGGAGGGTTTGGGGTTCCCCAGCGCGGGGCTGGGCTTCCCCGGGGTGTCCGCGCATGCTCGGCTCAGTCCCGGCTCTGGCTGGGCCCTGTGTGGGGAGCAAAGGGCCGGCGTCCCCCTCCTAGGTGGTCATTCCCGTGGTGTCTGTGCAAACGGTGAAGAAACACAAGGTGGCGCGACTCCTCCCCAATGGCTTGGCCATCACCACCAACACCCGCCAGAAGGTCAGTGAGTCTTGGGGCCCGCACGGCCTCGTCAGTCTCCGTCGCACACCCGCTCCCCGGCCTCACTCTCCAGTGGGTAGTTCAGAGGCCCTCCGCTGCGCGCGGTGATCTTGCTGGCTGTCCGGTCTGGTGTGTCCATTCTGCCCCCAGTCGTGGCATAGCCTGGAGCTTGTCTCACCGGCTCCTCTGCTTCCTTTGTATGTCCCAGTATGTCTTTGTGTCGCTGCTCTCCCGGGACAGCGTGTATGACGTGCTGAGGAGGGTCTGCACGCACCTGCAGGTAAGGGGCTCTGGCCGCAGGTGCCAGGACCCGCTGTTAGGGGAAGGTGGCCAGCTCCCCAGCACAGGAACGGGAGCAGGGCGAGGGGCGGGTCTCTGAGTGTCCAAGGCTGTGCTTGGACAGTGGGCCCTGTGTGTCCCCAAGTGTATACGGGCCTCCCAGGTGCTTCCTTAACCCCACGAAGACAGGAGCATGTGGCTGCACCCTAATATGTACTGTGACACTGCGGCTGCACCCCTATATGTCCTACGACATTCTCTGGTCACTGCTGACGAAGAGGGAGGGACAGGGACGGATGCGTGGGAGGACAAGTTTCCTGGGATTTGCTTTTCTGCTCCAGTATTGGTTAAGGGGTCCCTGCGAACTCTGGGTGCCGGTTTCCCCTGACCCGAAGCGGCGTCTTTGGAGGTAAAGTTCTCCTGGAGGATGTCAAGGCCTGCCCTGTCTGATCCTGCCCGTCCCTGTTCCTCCTCAGCCTTCCAGCAGTAAGAGCCTGAGCGTGAGGAACTTCCCAGAGGAACCCGAGTGCAAGTCTCTGGTGAGAGAGGGCTGAGGCGGGGAACAAAGGCTGCTGGCCTGAGAGTGTCCGACTCTGAGGTTTTAGGGTCTCTGTGGGTTGGGGGTACAAGGTGTGGAACTGCAGCAGTAGGCTCAAGAGCTGGTGGCCATGCTGTGCCAGGGGTCCCCTGGGGCCCCCTACCATGCAGAGCCATTTAGGTCCTGGCCACATTTGCTGACTTTCTGAGCAGAACAGAGGTCTAGCCCCAGAATACAGGCTGGTTTGTGCTCCGCCCACATGTGCACGCAGGCCAGAGCTCCATCCTGTTCCTTTGGCAGGGTCAGAAGGGCCTTGAGGGGCAGACATGCCCCTGGAGGAGGGCGCCATGGCTGTCATTGTGTGGCACAGATAGACTTTAGCTTTGCCCAGGGGGTTTCAGCGTTCTCAGCAGCTACTGAGTGTTTATCCAAGCGTGTAGATGCATAACGTCACGCAGGGACTGGAAGGTGATGTTCCCATTTTTGCTGATAGGGACCCTGAGTCCCCAGCGCAAGGTCTTTGAACCTAGGTCGGAAGGGGCCATGCTTTATGCCATGTGAGGCATGCTGTACTGGTTCTTCCTGGGCTCAGGCCTGAGCAGGTGCCTGGCTCATCTGAGATGCCACCCTGATTCTGCATCAGCAATGTTTGGGGACATTGTTCTTGGCAAAGGGGTTGGTGCCACATCAAGGGAGCAGATAGGAGATTCGAGATTGTTGCCATGGCAGTTGTCCGCTCCCCACATCTGCTTCCTTGCCTGACTAGACATTCGTATTGGTATTATCTGGAGAAAGACTCCAAACCTGGTGAAAGCCCCTTAGGAGGACAGAGCTCCCAGGGGCCACAATGATACAACTTCTCCCGTCTCTTCTGCAGGAAGTCCTCATCCCTGAGATGAAGTGGAGAAAAATATGCCCTGCCACCAGGTCGTTGTTGCTGTCAGACAATATCCCCTGCATCCCTCAGGAGTCGCTGGACTCCACAGATGGCCTCTTCCCCTCCGGGAAGCCTCGGGGGCCTGGTGAGTTGGGGGCTTGTCTGTCAGGGCCCAGGTGTTTTCTTCAGGGTGTGAAAAGGGCTGCCCACAGCCAGCAGGTTGTCTGAGAGCCGTTGCTTTCTTGCCCCAAATCCACTGGAGCATTACCGAGGATGTAACGACTGTCGTGGCTTTGCAGAAGATGCTGCTTGTGAGACCCAGGAGCAGCAGGAAGAGCCAGCGAGAGAGCAGGAGCTGCCCCTCTGGGATTCCCATCTCCTCAAGGTCATCTTCATGCTGTAGGTGACTGTCGTGGGGAGGAGGGGAGACCTGGGGGGCTCAGGGTGTGTGGAGGGTGGAGAGGCCGCGGTCTGCAGCCAGAGGAAGGCTGGGAGCCGACGCCAGCCCGTGGAGTGCTGTGTGAAGGCCGCAGGGCTCATTCTGTCTCCAGATTCCCAAGACCCTATGATTTAGGCTGAAGGCTGTGGCCTGCGGAGGCGGGATGTGAAATCGTTGAGAAAAGGAAAAGCTGGTGCCCGGGACTTGGGAAACAAAGAGTTGGCAGATGAGAGGGCCATCAGAGGGCTGGGGAGAAATGCTGCCTGGGGAAAAAGCCCACTGTCCCGGTGGCCACCGCAGGGGCAGCGGCTGGAACCCTGGCCTGTCCACAGCCTGTCTAGGGACAGCAGCGCAGCGAGTGTGGTGGGAGGTTATGTGCACAGCCGGCCCCTGCCTCAGCCGCTTCCTGGCGCTGCTGGCGGAGTGTGACTGTCTGCGATAGCTCCTGTGGGGCAGTGGGGCCACCTCTCGGGAGACATCATGGTGGCCTCCCAGAAGAGGCGGAGGGACCAAGTGGTTGGGCAGAGGGAGGGTGGGACGACAGCTTGAAATGTCTGGCCAGGGCTTACCCAAAAGGCCCAGGATACAGATTCCTGCTGGGCCAAGAGGACACTCCTCTGGGGACAAGTCTCAGGTAGATGTGTGGCCTGTGGGAAGAAGGGTGCCCGGCCTGCACATGGCTGCAAGGCAAAGGCTTCTTTCATTCCTCCGACTGCAGGAGTAACTTAGTCCTCACTCGTGTTTCTGGTGAACCTCCAAAAATCCCCTTTTTCTTTTCTTTTATGTGTGTGTGTGTGTGTGTGTGTGTGTGTGTGGTTTTTTGAGATAGTATCATGCTATGCAGTCCAGGCTGGCTGTCAGCCTAGGCTGACTTCAAACTCACAGCAATCCTCCTGCCTCAGCCTCCCAAGTGCTGGGATCGTAGGCATGCACCACCATGCCCCTTTGGAATACCCTTCTTCTAGAAGAGAGATTCAACTCCTTGCACCTGTTTCTCCAGGATCTGCTTCTTGGTCGTGTCCTCGTCCTATCTTGCATTTCGCATCTCCCGGCTGGAACAGCAGCTGTGCTCCTTGGATTGGGATGGGCCAGTCCCTGGGCACAGGTGAGGCCGTGGGGACTGAGGGTGAGGTGAGAAGCCAGGCTGCCCATGCTCCTGGCTGCTCTTCGCCCTGTTGGAGCCTGTTGGAGGGCCGTAGTGAGGCTGGGCGGGGTTGAGGGTACGCAGGTGCAGGTCTCAGCCTGGCCGGCTTGCAGGCGGGGAAGAAGGCTTCACCAGCCCTTTTGCTCATGCCTGTCTGCCTCGTTGGCCCTTTCTCTGATCTGAGTGTCTTTCCTGGGTGTAGGTAACAGCTGCCTGGCCTTGGTCCTCGCATCTCTCCAAGAAGAATGCTCAGGTGCTAAGACTGGTTTGTGCTGCTGCCGTGCTGAGGCCCCGTGTGAAGGGAACATTCCCGATCCCCCTCCTCCCCGGCTCCTCCTGCCCTCCGCCAGTGAGCTGAAGCACCTGTTTACAAAGTGACCAGCTCCTCCAGATCTGAGATTCGAACAGAAAGCTAGATTCTTTGAAGCAGCTGAGGAATTCTGTATACTAAGCTGCCGCAGCCACTTCAATGAATAACATTTAACTTGCTCCTTGGAGACCGCTCTAGCACACAGGCTGAGCCCTGGGGGCTGCCTCAAGAGACAAAGGCTACACTTTGCGACCTGGAATGTGGCTCTGTCTTCCTTGACTCCCCAGGGGTGGGGCAGAGGCCAGAGCACAGAGCGCCTGTCCGCTGTGTCCCAATACACTCGGCCCTTTGGGCCCTGAGAGTCCCTGTCCTGAAGCCCAGCCTACAGGGCTGTGCCAGAGCTAGGCACCCCAGGCAGAGGCTCTGAATGCAGGCACAGGGCCCCCAGCTGGGATCCAGCAGGAGATGAATGCGCATGCCCTGCGGGAGGCACTGAGCTGGCCCCACAGAGCCCAGAGAACTGAGAGATGGTGTCTACAGCAGGCGGCGTTGGGGGGGGGGCTGTGAGGTCCCAGAATTCCATGTCCCCGGGTGTCACTTTCTGGTGAGACAGGTAGAGCAGGGCCTCCTTCGATCACTGTGGTTTGGTCACAGATTTGGTACTAGTGGTGTGCTCAAAGTGCGGGCGACAGGAAGGGTGAGAGCTGTGATTGGAGGCCTCGTTACGTCCTCCCTGCCTGGCTGCCCTCGTCTCGGGCATGGCCAACAGCAGCCTGTTGGGAGGGCTTGGCTGGGGAGCCGGGTGTGATGGCGTCACTCATGCCACCTGCTGTCTGTGTGGCAAGGGCCATGAAGGCTGTGCTCTCCGTTAATAAGGTGGCGGTGTCCCACGTGGACCCGGTTCAGTGCAGGGAGCAGGTGAAGGAAAGGGCCCTGCCTGATGCTTGGAGAACGCTCTGTTCTAACAGGAACACCGGCCGGGCCTCCTGGGGGCTCTTGTCTGCTGACAGGGCTTGGGTGGCTCCCGAACGGCCTTAGGGGCGTCCAGGAAGGCACTGGTGGAGTGAGCGTAGTCAGGAAGAGCCGCTCTGCTGGGCGTGGTGGTGCACGCCTGTAATCCCAGCATTCGGGAGGCTGAGGCAGGAGGATCGTTGTGAGTTTGAGACCAGCGTGGGCTACAAAGTGAGCTCAAGGACAGCCTGCACTGCATAGCGAGACCCTGTCTCAAAAAGACAAAAAAAAAAAAAAAAAAAAAAAAAAAAAAGAGCCGCTCTTTCTCTCCGACATGGAGAGGTTAATTGGGCAAATCCAGGTGGGATGACTGTCTGTCCCGTTGATGACGGCCCCAAATGAGGACTGACTGGCAGCACTGACAGTAGGTGACAACTCCCAGAGCCCAGACTGGAGGTCTCTTCACCCTCTGCTCGTCCCCTTGCTAAGATGGAACCTGGAGCCCAGCCTCGCGTACCGCTGGCACCGAATCTGTCTCAGGTGAAACTCAGTCTTGCCCCCTCACAGGGCCACGCCGGGTGAACGCCTGGCCCTTGTCTTTCGGAGGCGGGGCAGCCACCCCCATCACTCATTGCCGTCATATTTTCAGGGAAACAATCCTCCTGGCCCAGTGCTTCACCTCCTGGTCCTTGCTGACAGGCAGGAAGAACAAATCCATTCTCTGAGCCTTGCTAGGTGGAGCTGGTGGCCGAGGGAGGTGCCAAGTCATGGGTGGCCGTGCCAAGGCGCTGGGGAGCCTGATCCCTGGCCAGAACCCAGGCTCAGGAAGGGCAGGAGGGGGGTCGGAGGGCGGGAGGCGAGCAGTCCCGCCTGGGGCCTAGAGCTTTGAGCCATGTGCCCCCACCACTCCCCGTGGAGCGTCTACCCTGCTTCTCCCTTTTGTCCCCCAGCCTGGTCCTGCTGTGCATTGCTATAAACTGTGAGAATCTATGCATTCCCACCTGCATCAGCTGAGGCTTCTCTAATTCTCTGAGACTTTGGGGTCACCAGCCCTTGGTTGATCTACCATGGCATTAGCCTTTGACATTTTAAAAAATAAACCTGTTATTTTCTAGTGTCCTGTGGCCTGGAGAGTTCATTTTTATCCTGTGATGACTCCCTAAAGGTACTGCAGTGACACGTCGGTGCTGAGGAGACTGATGGAGCCCCGGTCATTCCCAGAACCCCCAAGACGCTAACCATCTCGAAGGAGCAGACTCGCTCCCCCACATATGGGAAGGGCGAGGGTGACCACAGCCTTCTCCCTCTGCTGGGTGGACTTCCTCATTTCTCCTGCTTGACGTCCCCTCACAGTACTCGACTCAGGAATCAAAGTGTGGAGGGCAAAGCCAGGAGGCTCCTGTGGGCCGTTCTGTGACTCAGAGCCCACAGAGGCTACATTCCAGTTTGGGTCACATCACGCTTCTTACGCCCCCTTGGGTCCAGGCCCTGAGCCAGCTGCTATGCTGAGCTCTGGAGTGCAGTGCACACGTAGGCAATGGCTGTGCCCTACCGGCACCTCCCTTCAATCCATGTTCAGGTGAGTGCCAAGGAGATCTGTGAACAAACAAGGGAACTGCAGGCCGGGAGCAGGTTCCATAAAGGTAAGCCGTAGTGATATGAGATAAAAAGGGAGATGGCCTCAGGTGGGATGTGCAAGAGATTTCTCTGAAGTGACATTTAAGCTGGTGCCTGTAGGACAAGGTGCCAGTCCTGGGAGGAGCTGGGAGACAGCACTCCCGGGAGAGGATCAGCAGCTGCAAATGATAGGAAAGGGCGTATAGGTCTCCAGGGTCCTAGCCCAGAGACAGTGACTGAAAAGAGACTGCAGAGGTCATCTCAAGAACGAAGAAACAAAGGACGCCCATAGACGTTTCTCTAAAAAAAAAAACAGATGCAAATGGCTAATAACCAATGAAAAAATGGTCCCAGCACTACTAATTATAGGGATGTAAATCAAAACCATAATAAGATATCACCCACAATCATTAGGATGGCTGCTATCAAACAAACAACGGTTTTCAAGGATGTGGAAACATTGGAACTTTGTGCATTATTGATGGGAATAAGTAATGATGCAAGAGCAGTAGAGTGCTTGCTTAACACGCCCAAGACCCTCCGTTCGATCTCAAGCTGCAGCATGTGCACATGCGCACAAACACACGGGTAGCCGGAAGAATAGTACAGTGCTTACTCAGAAACTGAAATACGGAATTATTATATGATCCAGCGAGTCCACCTCTGAGTATGCACTAAAAATACTTGAAAGCAGGCCTTGAGATACTTGTAATATGTTCACAGCAATTATTCACAACATCAAAAGGCAGGGTTGGGGTGTGGTTGAATGGTAGAGTATTTGCCTAATATGTGCAAACTCCTGGGGCTGATCCCCAATACTGGGGGATAAAAAAGTAGAACCAACTCAAGTGTTCATTGAGGTGTGAATGGACAAGCAAGATGTGGTCCGCTCGTGCAGCAAATATTACTCAGCTTTGAGGGGAATGCGGTTCTGACGCATGATATGACTTGGATGACCCTTGAGGACATTATGCTGAACACAGTAGGCCGGTCACAAAAGACAAACACTGTACGACCCCACTCACGAGGTGCCCAGTGGCCAGCTTCACAGGGACAGAAAGTGGAACAGCTGGTGGCTGTCAGTGAGGAGAGGACGGAATGGGGAGTAGTTTCATGGGGACGGAGTTTCGGTTTCACAAGATCAAAAGAAATCTGGAGACTGGTTGTACATCAGTGTGAGTATACTAAACACTATCTGACTGCACACTTAGAACGGTTAAACAGTAAAAGCTGTGTATTTTACGTTCTTTAAAAAATTTACAAAGGAGCTTCATGAAGTAGGCAAGGGAAGAGTGGGTTTTACAGACTCCCTGGGAATCGCAGCTCGGCTCTGAAAGTGGGAGGCTGGTAGAGCAGCGTCATGGTTGCTGAAGCCAAGCGCTGCCCTTGCCACTGGACGGACGTGCACGGCTGGGTGCTGTGTGTGGAAGAACCCGGCGGATGACCTTCTAGGGCATCAGGAAAACTAACCCAGTAACATCCTTTAACATACACCCCTCCTTACTCTTCCAGGAACTGGTTCATACTGACACCGTCACGGAGAAGGCATATCATGACACATAGCTCATTTTTAAATTGAAGTGAGCTAGCTTTGTGAGGGACAAACAGCTGCCTTATTTGGACAAATGGAGGGAAATACATATAGCAGTGCCTGGGTTTTGCACTGTGGACCTTAGCCAGGAGAAAAGCTCTGGGAAGGGCAGGCATTCTAGAGAAAGAATTTCTGAAGGAGGGCGACGCAGGGAGGACTTAAGCCCACCAGAGTCCTGGAATAGGGCACTGCCCACCCCAGGTGCCTCCCACCTGGCTGCCACGTCATTAGGCCCCCTGCTAACCTGGTAAGGTCTTGACACCCTTGTTGCCCCTCTCTCCTAGCTGCTGGGCCCCCAAATCAGGGAGTCGTAGGCCAGAGAAATTTCTCAGGGAAGGATCTCCGGTTTGTCTGAGCCTGGATGGACGCCAGGATCCCTGGGATCCATCCAAGGCCAGTTCTCCCTCTGAGAAGGAAAAGATGACAAGTGGCCCACTGGGTGGCAGCAAAGTCCAGCAAGAAGACTAGGACCCACCGGGTAAAAGACTTGATTGTTCTCAAAGCAAGGTCCCTGTGGTCTCATCTCCTTGCTGGGGAAAGCAGGCCCAGGCTTCTTCCAAGCCCAGCGCACCGTCAGTGTCTCGGAAGAAGGGAGTCTCCAGGTCAGCCGGGTGGTCACCTTCTCCCCTTTGGACTCTCCTCGCTGCCTAAGGCCTGCAGTGATCGAGAAGGTAACGATGCCAGGGCTCTCCAGACCTCACGCAGGCCTGGCGGGTGGGAAGGCAGAGCCCGTGGCTTTGAAGCACAAGTGTGCATCTGTGTGTGTCCGGCCGTTGGGGTGGGGCGCTCGGCCTCTAGGGCTTGGAGACCCCACGCTCTTCCCTGCCCTGCCCTTGCTGTGCGAGGCATCTTTTCTCACTTGGAACACGGTGAAAGAAACCTGTGTCCCATCAAATAAGCAACAGGATGGCAATGACACTTTGTCCTCCTGCTTAGGGAACATGCCTCAGACCCCAGGGCAGAGAGGTCCAGAGGATAACGGTTGAATGTTCTTTGTCCACGGAGAGGGCTTGAGCCTCTGAAATGATAACGCAGAGAAACCCGAGTTCATCCCCCTCCGTGCCAAGAGAGAGACAAGCTGCACCTGGCGCCGTGGGCCC